CATCTTTGTCTTGATGTTTATAAAACCTAATGTTTTTTTTTATTTTTACAAATTTTTCCCTTGGCATAAGTTCTTTTATTATTGGACACTGCTAAAGTCGTTTGTTGGACCAATAGTCAGACTGCTTTTTCCTAGAATTGACTATAGTAATTATAATGATCACGATGAATCTGTCTAAATCATCATTGGTCAATTCAAAGTGGTTTTCGGAAGTAGCTTTTATAATAAAGTTTTTCATTGATTGAGAAAAAAAGAGTTCTAACAATTCCAAAAAACTTTTTGAGTAAAATGATGAAGTAGATAAAAGATCATAGTCATCACCTGGAAGATCGTCATAATTCAAAGCATTATCACGCCAATCATGATTCGATTCTAGTAACTTCTGGTCACTAGTATAAGAACTCTTTATATGTTCATACGATCCTGTAGGAAGCGGCCGAAGTGAAGTATATTCTTCTTCTTCATTACTTGAACCTTCATCTGAGCTCTCATGCTCTGTTGGAAGAAATGTAATATCAACATGATGGTCACTATTTATATCATTACCGTCAACTATCTCATTCAAATCAGCAATTCTTCGCCTCGTCATGGTATTACAGTTTTATATTGAAGTATATAAAAAGAACAAAATCAGTAATTTATTCAATATAATAGAATGGTCTTCTATTTCACTGAGTGACAAGCTATCGTCGAAATAGTATATGACACCGAACTATTTAGTCAATTTACATTTGAAATGAAGATAGGAATGAAAATTAGAAAGAATTATAAAATTATGAGGAATTTCTACTGATGGTGTGATTATTCAATACAACCGTAGAATAGTACATTACGATACAAGTGCGGGAAAGTAGATTCTTGTCTCGTGTGGCTTTTACGCCCGAGCGAAGCGAGGGTGGAAGGGTACACGAGACGAGAAACTCTTTCCCGAACATGTGCCGTACCGTATTTTTTGATACGACGTGTGGAAAGTGCAATTTTCAACGCACGTTTTCTGCCGAGCGTGCGGGAAAGACGCACTTTGCGCACGGAGTGTCGAAAAATCTTTTTCAAGTTATTTTTAGTTCACATTCAGTTCGTAAAATTCAAATGATGGAAACTGCTTTATGATTTCTAATTACAATTGTATGATAAAAGGCTAAAGAGGTTTTCGCCTTGATTTTTCCCGTAGAATCGATTGCCGTAAATAGTTTTTCAAAAAACTAAAACTTTTATCAATTTGTTTAAATAACTTTTTATAAACAATTGGAAATGCAAAAAGAAAAAACACGTGTAAATTATTTTTGAGTTAAAACATGAACCCAATAGTTATTTCAAGGCTATCTCGACTAGATTCGGCTTGGGTATTAATATGTTAATAAATTTGTCTCCAATTTTAGTTTTTAAAGCATATAAAAAAGATTAGCTAAACCATTTTTATCAGTGATCGAACTTACTTTATTTAAAGAAATATCGTTTACAAAGAAACTAACATTACGCAATGGTTTGTTTACCTTACTATTTGATGTAGACGAAAACTGGTATACCCTTAATTCCTTTTAGAATAACAACAAAGCATTAGCTTGTAAATTGACATCGGGATTGTTCTCTTCTAATCGTTGAATAATCTTTTCATCCCTTTTATTATGAGCTTTCTTAGGTTCATCATCTTTATTCCAATTTTTTTCTTCAAAATGAAGTGAAGAATCATTTTCTTTGTTTTCCCTTTCAAAATTTTTAAGAATATTGAGATTAAAGTTTTCTCTCTTCTCATCTACAATTTTTAGTTTTCTTTCTGATGACTTTCAGAAACTTCATTTAAGTTTTCCGTATCATTTTCAAACGTAACAGTTTGTGCATCGCTTATGTCCTGTGACTGTAAACGTCAAATTAGCGCTAATTACCTAACCTGGTAGCTGCCTGCGGGGGCAGCACCTACCGGGAGACGAAAAACGTAATGAGGGAATTCGGCACGCGACGAGACGGAACGCGCGCGATTGAAAACGAACCAGTGGAGAACCAGCTATCGGTGCGGAAGCCAGAAAAGTCGAAGTTCGCGAACCGATTGCCGATACGTGTACCAGAGTCCAGGATAATTGTCACCGAGTTACACGGTGTACAGACCTGAGCCAGCTGAAAAAGCAGTATCGTTACCTGCGACATCAAGAGTGTGTGTGCGAGGTTTCGCCATCGAAGGCGAAACCACGTGCGCGCGAATTCGCGATCCGCGACAAAAAGAACAATCAGACTTTCCCGCAGTGCGAATTGTTCCCTTCGTCTTCGTGCGTCTGCAAAGTAAAGGTAAGCTCGCCAGCTTAATCTCGCGACCACGATCGCATGCATGTTAATTAATCTTCCGTATTCGATGCGAAGCGTGCATGTAATAGCTCTACGGACAAAGAGCAGCGAGCGTCCCGACACTGCATGTTGTTGTCGAGCGAGCGCCAATGTAAACATACACACGCGGGCCAATTCTAGTGTAGCATTTGAAAGATAATAAAGAGTTTTCGTTCGTGATATTAACAAGTACTTTCGACGTGTTTATTCCGTATTGATTCCACTCCTGTAGATCTGTAGATTTGTTGGTTGACTGACACCCGTTCCCTCTTGCTCTCCGACTTTCTTATTTAATATAGGTGATTGCGAGCGTATTTACGCGATCGTCTTAATAAAAATAATTTAACGGTAAGCAACCCTGTTACAGTCCACAGGAGGACAATAGATAAATGCTTTTGTTGAGATAGCCTGACTGTCGGCTCCGACTCCAACGTTAGGCAACTTCAGATCAGCACCCTTTTCCATCAAAGTTGTCATACACTTCAGTATTAACCCTTTGCGGCACGATTTTTTTTCTAAAAAATCGTCATTTTGGTGCATTTTTCAGCCATTTTTTAAAAAATGGCGACTAAAAATCGATAATTTGATATAGTTATACATTCATTAACATATTAGAAGGATAAAATATTAAAAATCCCCGTGAGCAACGATTTATTATAGCCCTTCATACATGAAAATCTCATTTCAAAAAGGTGGTAAGTATACTTACCACTATGCCGCAAAGGGTTAAGTTCATCTGAGCTTGTTCTTTCTTCTCACTCTTCATCATCTGGCAATTTTCTTAGTTCTGCGCGAACAGCTATTTGTATTTAGAATTCAGGGACAAGGCAACGAACTGAGCAGCCAGAATAGTCAGTGCAGCTTGTGATTTAGCTCGAAGTTGTATCTGTCATCTAGTCAAATTTAGAGTAGTCATAACTTCGAACTGCCCATCAAGCCACCCGATCTGCCTCTCTTCCATTACTTCAGTAATACTAGCCAGAGAATTTAATGCTACTAATATATTGCTGCCCACTATCATATATATTTGTGGCGAGTATTATAACCTATTTGCCCGTACGACTAGGCAAGCTTCAGATAATGACCTTGATCTTTATCCGTTTAACAATTCATGAACCCAATTCATTGATGAAAGTTCGGATCCTTAGAGCTGAGTATCGGTGTAACAGGTGTAACAGGCTACCGCTTAGTCGCAAATCCCGGGTAATTATAGTTAAGAATACGGCCAAACGGTGCTCTGTTAGCTGTATGCTTCAAGCATACTCACTCACCTCGCTCCGGTGTACGCATGCGTCGAGTTCTCTCAGTGATCCAACTTAGATGCGCGAACTCTCCGCAACGGGCGCTGATGCGCTTGCTTGCCAGCGCTCCTTTGGCCGCTGCAGACAACTCGGTCGACGAACAGCTCCTTCTATGCTTTTGCGATCCGTGCTGGATTACCGGCGCGTTCGAATCAAATGTAAACAATAACACCGACACCGGACAAAGGGTAGACGAAACGTCTCTTATTGATCTCTAATTACTTTATTGAACCAAAACTAAACCTGTACAAGGGACGATTCACCGAGAGTCTAAACGCACGCTATTTCAACACAATAATTCGGATGTGGAGAGAGAGTAGATTTCGCGGACGTTGCGGACTATTCGCACGCACGCTACTTATAACTCATCGCGCACGCTGCGCGGGATCGCACGCAAAACGCTATACAAAGTGCAGCGCACTTACCGCTGAATCGATGAGGATACGGTGGCCAACCGTATCCAACTATACTAAAAGAATGAACTGCCTCTGCAACTGCCTCTCGTCGCCGAAGTACGTTGCTGTGGATACTGGCGAGGTTGAGCTCGCTGCTGCCGAGGCCGCACACGTTGAGCAGTGTGCGCACTCGACACTCCACTCACAATTATCTGCACAAACTCCCTGGATCTCACTCGGAAGGAAAAAACACGTCGTTGCTTCTAACACGATAAGCTACAATGTAGGCGGACTGAAGGACACAGTCATACTGGCTCGCTACCTCTCTCCTCCCGGTCATTGCCCCTAACGCGCCCTCTCTCTCCCTCTAACCCAAGCCGATCACGGCTATTACACTTAGCCCCGCTCGACAGTCTACGCAAGTCCTAACGATTTTCGGCAATCGTTGCACAGGATATTAACGCTATGGCCGTGGCACTCTCTTCCAGTTACAATACATGTACAGCCACATACCCCAGTGCACTATCTGCTATATGTCTTTAAACAATACATATCTTATCTCTAGTCTATAAAGAATATTAGTTACAGTAATTTTTACTAATTTGCACTGATTCGTAATTTTCAGTGAAACTCAGCTCAAGACCCATCAGCCCATTTTGCGACTGATACATCTCCTTTCTACTCTGCAATCAGGTAGAAAGAGGTCACGCGCCGCCGTGTCATTCGTTTCTAGAGAGTACGCACATACGTTGTATATTTTATGCATAGACGCACTCAAATATACAGACTCGTTATAATTTAAACACAAACACTTCTATGGTAGTATAAAATCATATCATAAATATCAAAACTATTACTTTCAAAATTCTGAATGACACTTTAAATACCTTAATAATTATGTAATATATAAAGCATAAAATGTATATTTCCAGCTTTCTTTCAAAAAGAGATGATTGTCTTGTAGATTTATAAAACTTTACTCTTTCAGAGATGATGCTGAAGTTCAAGAAATAGAACACGCAGAACCTCTGGTAACATTTCCGGAAACACCACCGCCAGTAACGACATCAATGAATTTATCCGGTCCATTGCCCATGAATCTCAATTCACTTGATCATATCAGAGATTTGAATTCTCCATCGAACTTAAAAAACGTACAAAATTCATCAACTCAAATGGTTTCACCTGAAACGATGAAGTTCGAGCAAAAAAGAACGACTAGTGCGTCAAAGAGCAAGGTAAATATTTGTAATTATTTATCAAAGGTTAGGAATCGCACAGATTGTACATACCGTTCATATGCTAATCATTTTCTATAAATATATTAGTAATTATTATCTTGTAATATTGCAATACAGAGTCTCGTTGATTACAATATTTATTTTCAATTCTAAACTTGCGAATTTGTATAGTTAAGTTGTAGAGAAAAAAAAAATTTTGACAAGTCGATTTAATTGAGATGCATTGGATGATGAACAAATATTTTTTCTAAAAATAGAAAATTATGATAAAACTAAATTATAATTTGGTGAATAATTACGATTTCTTTTGAACGAAGGGAGAAAGAGCGAGAGAGAGAGAGAGAGAGAGGGAAAGAGATAGAGAGAGAAAGAGGGAGAGCGAGAGAGAGAGAGGGAAAGAGAGAGAAAGAGAGAAATAGAGAGAGCGAGAGGGAGAGAGATAACTGAAAATCGCCAGTTGTAAACTCGGTAGTCGAGTCGCAGATATCGGTGGCAAAAAGTGGCTAAGCCTCTCATAAACTCTTTTCATGACGCCAGTGCCTTGCAAGAAACGTTAGACGACTAGCCGGAAGATGTATGTCTCTCCTGAGTATCGTGTATGTTTAAGTGCTACGTGTACATTTCAATGTCTTGTGTATGCTGTGTTTGTATTTGTGCATTTGTGTGTATGCTGACGAATCAATGTGAATATTGTCGAATCCAGAACACGACGCATGCTCAATACTGCTTTTAGCACGTTGTCCTCTCTCTCTCCGACGCATATCGCATGTGTTTCACCTATTTTCATCTCTCTTTTCCTTTTTTATGTTTTCCTTTCTCATATGTTTCGACAGTAAGCATAGCTGGCACATGCTATTCTTATCTGGCAAATAAATTTTTTACGCAACATATATGCAAAGTAAGATTTTTTCTTACGGAATTAGAGTGGATAAAAAATGGAATAATCTCTTTTCTAAGGTTTCCATGTTTCTATTTTAGTTATTAACGTATACGTTTTAAGAGCTGACACGATTTAAAAAGATAAAGCATTTAAATGGCTTGAAAACATGACAATATCATATTTTTAATTCAATACCACTTATTGTAAAAGTTAGTTTTTTTATAAACGTATAATCTATAAGTTAGAGATGCTTTTTATTTCAGATTATCTATATAGTATAAATATTCCCTTCAAAGTTTTAGTAAATAATGTGTATAATGTTTTTCAGAATGAAAAAGAAAAATGCAGGCTTTATGGGTTTTGATGACAAATAGAAAATTTGTTATATCATAAAAGTTACTGCTTTGTTTTTTTTATCTTTTAGTGGTCATTCAGTGAACAAGGTAATTTTAGTTTCTAGTACCAATGATGTCTGATTTGTAATGTCTCTGAAAGCTGATGTGCTTTCATTGATCAATACACCATTCACATTTTTATTAACAACCAGAAATAAATTATTATTATTACTAACACCCATTAGAACAGATTGTAAATTTTTAATGATGTATATTTATATAACAACTTATAAAGAAATATGTTTATGCAACATGTTATGTTGTTACATGTATAAACATGTATTACATAAGTAATAACTAATTAAGTCGATTTTTTCTATTGATATTCAGCCTGCGACTCTATTTATTAGTTAAAATCATTTACGCGGTGAAGGAAGACACGAACGCTTCAAATACTAACTTAGCCAGTCATTATATAAAATAAAACAAAATAAAAGTAATCCAACAATGTCTTCCCAGATTACCGAGACGAAGTGTAAAGAGAGAACAACCATTACAGATCGGTACGAATATATGCCCGCGCAGTAAGTACCTACACAACCTAACCCTGGAATTTAATGCTAATTTACTTAGAAACTTAGTCGACGCGGAACATGCGTGTACTCTATTAAAAGGGAGAGAGAGAGAGAGAGAGAAAGAGAGAGAGATCATGCTACCGTTACTGATCGTTGCTCCTGTTACTGTTGTTTTTGCATCTGCTCTTACTGTTGCTGCTGTTGGTTGAAATGTCTTCAGAGTATCGGCGGCAACAGATAATGCGCTGACTGCTGTGTGCTGAGATGCTGTGAAGGCTGGTTGCGATTTGGCTCATCAGCTCACTATACAGATAATAAAAAATGGTGCATCAGTCTACAGCTCTGAGAGAAATTGTCCTAGCTAGTTAGTACCCTTGGCGTCTACGAGAAAGAGAGTGTGAATCTTGTGTGGACTCACTCGCTCTACGCTGGATCACACATCGTCTCCCCCCCCCTCTCTCTCTCTCCCTCTCTCCCTCTCTCTCTCTGTCATCTGTATTCGATGTTTTTACAACAAAATTTGGTGTGTAAAATATAAAAAAAATATTAAAAAATTTTAGAGTAATCCTTGACAATGAAAATATCTTCTCAAGTTCAAATTAAACTATTATAGAACAGCTGTTATAGGTAGGATCAAAACTGAACATGTATTTAATAAAACGACTGTTTTATATTGATTTTGATTTGATTTCATATTTCGACAATAGGTGTAAAAATAGGGCTTAGTAGAAGTAGTGGCTATTATAAAATATCAACTTTCAAGGTCAAAGGTATCCTCTATATCAGTTTCTTTATTTTCCTCGTATTCAGAACACCATAAATCATACTTATACCAAATTTCAAGTTGAAACGATAAAAAATACAAATTTCACCTAAAACGAGTGATTTTTAGTTCGGCGAAGATTTACAACAATTATGGCAATAATTGATATACACAATTTTTACTGGAATTCGCTCATCCTCTAAAGGTTAACAAAGAAGAATAAGAATATTAGTAGGGAAATGTTTCCGTATATATTAGGGAAACGTGTATTTTTGAGGTTAGAGGCAACGTTTGTATGTTATACTTAGAGGGTTAATTTACAAAAATCCTATAAATTTCATAGTTTTAGAAATCATTGAACTCGTTTATCCGTCTTTAAGTAAAGAGCTATCTTCATGTGATATTGAAATTAACTGAACAAAATTAATTCATCTTATGCGCTCAAAAACTTTATGTATATTACTCAGGCCAATACACTACATGTATATCACGATAACATTATAAGCTAGTCGTATGATTATTTAAGTTACGTCATAAAGGGTGCAGATTGGCTTTGTAAATTCAAATACATATATTATTAAGAATATTAACCTTCTACGTATTTATATAAGTTGTGCTTTATAATTTCCTATGTAATAATGGCTATAAAATTTAGTTGTTCAAAATCAAACATAAATATATTTATAAAGAACCTGCTGAATAAGTATGTATGTATAAAAATTATCGTAAGCTGTTGTAAAAAACCAATCACACCATCATATTCAGCGTGAAAAATTACTATGATCCTAAAATTTTTAGCTTAAAAACTCATGCGCATACACAAAATCACACTTTCAAAATTTTTTGTTTTTTGGCCATGCGTTAGTCAAGTTATGAGCTAAAAAAATAGTTTGTCTTTTATTAGTAATTGTACAATGAATTGTAATTATTAAATAAGAGTAACAATACTATATCGTGGAGAGACGCTATTGCATGGGTAACGTGAAATAACCACCCACGACCATTATTTCCTACTTAATTTCATTTTACTGTAATTTACTCGTTGCATGGCGTGGCACTCGACAGTATGGCTTACAGAGTGCAGAAAGTAGTTAAGGCTGGAAGTGGTAAGCAGATTGCGCTTCACTTGTCGACTCACGAAAGAGAGGGAGGGGTTATATTCACTGAGTAGTGCTTGCGCGGAGCGGAACTGAATATACCGCCCGTCTCATTCTTGGAACGATGAACTAATTCAATTATTATGTCTCTAAAGGTGGCTCCACTGACGTCGAGTTGTTTGGAGTTGACGTTAACAAGAGGAGGCGAGCCAGATTCTCGAATGGTCTAACTTATTCTTCGCCGGAGGTCTGTACAATGGCAGTTTTAACGAAATTATTAATTCTTAGGTGGACGGTGATAATGCACTCCATCGGCCGCTATCCATAAAGGCGAAGTAGAGACCCGTCGACAATCACTATGAAGTCTTCGACATTGAAGTTGGGTTAAGAATGTCTCCATTTGGGACGTTGTACAAGCTTGTTCATCTACTCTTGACTCAACAAGTCCCAATGTGAAGTGTATTACAGATTGATATTGGGATCGGCGAACTGAGGAATCGATATGCTGAAGGTGCCGATAATACAAGTGACTAGGACTCAGAGCATCTAAATGACTTAAAACTTCAGATGGTGAAGCGAGAAGTCTGTTGTTGAAAATAACCTCTACAGAAACTAGAAGCGTTAAGAACTTCTTGTAGGTGAGGCACCTAGGTCCAACGATTCAACGAAAGTGATTCTTGATCGACTTGATGCCGGTCTTCCAGAGGTCGCTGAAGTGAGGAGCAGCGGGAGAGATAAATCTTCATTGGATGTCCTTGTCAGCGAGATTTTCTCCAATGAGTCTCCAGTCCATCTTTGCCGCTTTCAACAGCTTCTTAACGAATTTCAAGGTTGGCACCGCAGAAATTGGTATTATTGTTGCTCCAAATCTCCGCAGGGCAGCCGCGTCTGCCGACGAAGCGTGTGAGAGCTGAAGCTCGCAGTAGTGAGATCGTCAACTAACTCGAGATAGACATTCTCGGTGTTTATACAGACGAAAAGAGCGATATATTCTTTAAATTACACCATGTACTTTGGATTGTGAAATCTGAAATGAGCTGACGTAATCGAGTCCACTACGTTCGAATGGTCGAGATAGTGTAACTTAAGCTGCTAGCAGTGGAGCGATGCCTTAAGTGGCAGTGCGTGCTACAACTCTGGTGTATACCATGTACTTCTGAATGTGTTTTTTTATCAAAACTTTGGTATCAACGATCCACGCCTTGTGCAGTGTCCAGGAGAAGATAGAGCGGAATCATGAGTGAAAGCTGCGTTTGTAAGCTCAGTGGATGATCAACTTGACCAAACAGAAGAAGCCTTCGAGAATGGGTGTTCTTCGATGGGTGAGTGCTTCTTATCATATAACAG